ATAAATACCAGAAGTGGAGTGAAGTGGACAACCAAGTTAAATATCATGGGTCCTTTATGCATACATATGAATGATGAAGACAGCAATGTCGTACAGTGCGCAATGAGGTTTATCTTGCCCTTTTTCTATTTAGAACTATCAAGGGATCTTAGCATGCACACCTCAAAGAGCCTTGGTTTTTGTCTCAAAAAATGAAATGGAGTTTTAAGTCCTACTTTTCTGCTCTATTGGGATAATGAAGACAGCAATGCCATGCAGTGTAAAATCAGAGTCATCAGCTGATTGTTGTGTAATAAATATACTGAATTTAATTCTAAAACAAGTTTTATTCAAGCATGACACCAATAAAACTAGTATGAATATTATGATAAAACACAAACACCTTTTCAACATTATATTAAAAATTAATATTTATTTTAAGTAGGCAGACCTGTCAATCAGGTTTCTCTTTGAAGGAACGTGCCATGTCTCTTATTTACATCTTCATTAAAGAAGGAGTGTGCGTGAGCATCATAAAACAAAGTTTAAGACTGAAACCTTTCTCCCATTGATCAACAATAGATGGGGTTTTAATATTTTGAAGTAAATTTTCATATTTTTATTCTTTTCAGCTCTGAACTACATTTGGTCAAAAATTGTATGGTTTAAAAAATAAGCTTTATTACATACTTAATTCTAATAAAGATACTGCTGAAATCAGCTGAGTACAACTATATATAGCTAATTACTTTAACATCAATTATCTATCTGAAATTGAGCTCTATCAGCTAATTACTTAAATAATATTTAGACAACTATATCTAGCTGAAAATGAGCTCTATCACCTAATTACTTAAATATCTAGACAATTATATCTAGCTGAAAATGAGCTCTATCAGCTAATTACTTAAATATTTAGACAACTATATCTAACTGAAATAGAGCTCTAACAGCTAATTACTAAAATATCTAGACAACTATATCTAGCTGAAATAGAGCTCTAACAGCTAATTACTTAAATATTTAGACAACTATATATAGCTTAAATTGAGCTCTATCAGTTGATTACTTAAATATCTAGACAAATATATAGAGCTCTATCAGCTAATTACTTAAATATCTAGACAACTAAATATAGCTGAAATTGAGCTCTATCAGCTAATTACTTAAACATCTAGACAACTATATCTAGCTGAAAATGAGCTCTATCAGCTAATAACATAAATATCTAGAAAAGTATATAGCTGAAATTGAGCTTTATCAGCTAATTACATAAATATCTAGAAAAGTATATAGCTGAAATTGAGCTCTATCAACTGATCTGATAACTTAAATATTAAGACGACTAAACAGGTAGTTGAAATTGAGTTCTATCAGCTGGTTAACTAAATATTTAGAGGACTAGACAGATGTCTGAGCTCTATAAGTTTCTAGAGCAAATCTTGATTTCAGGGTTTCTGACATAGGCTTATTCTAAATTTAGATCAGTTTATTATAAGCATTAGGACAGTTTGGTTACTTTTATCAAACAAAAAAATTCCCAGTTTTGTCATAACAGCGCCCCTACAAAACCTTCTTTTCAAAATCAAAATGAATTCTTGCATAACAATATTTCATTTAATTATTTGAATAATAATGAACGTTTTGAGTCATGATTTTCCCGGACAATAATTCAACAATTTTTGCAATATCAGTGGCTAGGTCAATGAACAAGCAATCTTGTGTTATAATGCCTTTTGAAAGTCTTTTGACTGTGCTAATTTATGAAATATCTTCTCTATTCAATCTCATAGACATTATTACCAACTTTTACATAAAAATAGCGCATATAGCTGATAGGGTTTGGTTGAAGGGATTGTAAAAGAGATTTAGAAGGTTTTCTTGTTAAAGGTGTTGTAAATTTTTTTTAGCTTCTTTATATGTATCTTGCCATTTAAGGGTTAAATTTGCACTATTCCAATTAATTGCAAATGATTGTAATAATATTTGGTTAAATGGAATGGTTAAAAGCAATGCTATAAACACTGTTCAGGTAACTAAAATCCATTAAATTAATTTGAAACTTTGGAAAAAAGTCATTAATCACTCACTCCGGATTTTTTTAGGAATATCTTTAATCATATTATGCTCTAATCTGTCCAAACAAAATCCTTTCCGATCCTAATTGACCAAGATATTATTGTAATAGTGTTAAAGGTATATAGTCATATAAATATTTACTTTACCAGCCGATAATACTCAATTTCAGCTATCAGTATAGATGTCTTAATAATTTACTTTATCTGCTGAATAGAGCTCAATTTAGGTTGTCTGCATAATCATCTGATCATTTACATTAAAGCTTTCTGTATGGTTGTTTCAAAATTTACTTAGTTGGCTGATTGAGCTCCATTTCAGGTTCCTTAATAGATGTCTTAATAATTTACTTTGCTGAATAGAGTTCAATTTCAGTTATCTATACAGTTGTCTCAGTATCTGAATTAGTAGACAAAAATCAAGAATGATCACTTCTGTCCTGTTGGATTGAAAGTTTTCCTGGTGAGATTGTCAGGTTTCATTTCATGAATAAGCTAGAGAAAAAAGTGGGATTTATTTGAGTTATTGTAGTAAGTACGGTAAAGTTATAGAAGGAAAGTATTTGTAAGAATAACATTCTCTAGTCAGAAATCCTTAATGTGGGTTTATTGGTGTCAGTGGAGATGGATATATATCATTATATGTGATATCATGTTCCCTTAGTTTATATCATGTTCGATTAGTCTATTATCATGTTCCTTCATTAGGCTACAGTGAGATGATATAGATAACCAAAGGATAATCGATTCAGTAATATTTGTCTAACTTGGACTATTTGATCAAGGTTAGTGTTTTTTAAGTGGGTGGGAAAGGAGTTGATGAAGTCTGTATATCATGATCCATTAGTCTATTATCATGTTCCTTCACTAGGATACAGGGAAATGTTATCAATAACCAAAGAAAAAGCAATTCAGCAGTTTTTGTCCATCTTGGACTGTTTGATTAAGGTGTCGAAAAAGAGGTTGACAAAAAAAAGTTGAAATTAAAATCTACCACATGAATATTGAGTGGCAATTAGTCATGTTATTGCAGACTGTAGAAAAATATTTTAAAGAGGTTTCACAAACTTTATATGTGTATCTCAGGGTAATAATGAGGTCATAAAATGCTTAGTTTTACGGGAATTGCAGGAACTACAGACGTCTCAATGAAAATTGATGCTAATAGTGTCAAAGATAAACATAAAACGTTGAGAAAGGAATTAATGGAAATATAATGAAAATTTTTTCTCATTTTACATTTTATTTATTAGAAACGCCACTGGCCAAATGCCTTACGTTGGAATTACTTTAGAATTTGTATTTGTTATTGCATCTAAATTTATCTTATTAATGTGCATATTTTGATGCTACCAATCCTTGTTCAGATAACATCACTGCTTGTTCTGTCATAATTTGTTTTTTTAAACTTGCTGATCTGCATTAAAAGATAGACTTGTTGTATATATATGACAATATGTTACGCTTCATTTCCTTTTTTACATATATAGGCTATATATATATATTTAATATCTCAGCTTTTTATCATATCCATATCTTTTACACAATTTCTTTTCGAGGGAATTCACAAAAAACTTTAAGATATATAAATTTCATATATAACGTACTGATAAACTAAAAAAAGTCATCGGCCTATAAAACAAAATGTAGCCTACGGAAGGCTGATTTTAAATAAAGATTAATATGACATAGGCTTAAATACACAAAACCATAAAAACAATCAATTAAGAATTTGAAAACACTTTATCTACCCCCAAAATCAGAGAGTCAACCAATATATAAATGTGAAAATCACCCAAATTTTATTAGTTTTCAACACCAAGAGGAAGTGAATTGGATTTAGCAATTATTATTCTAGCTTGATAAATCCTATAAACTGGGTATATTTAAATTGTATGATTTATTATTCAGAAATATTAATATTTTGGAATAAAACTTTCATTTTTATAATGGTAAGTGGACAAATTTATTTAAATGTGGATAACTAAAACCTAAAAACTAAAACAGAAAGAAAAAAAAAACTATATTTTACAAGGATAACAACTTAGATTCACAATCCTTTCTACCATCTAGTCCTTGGACACACCTGTTAGCATTGATCTTTCCTAGATTATCTCAGGTATTGACACAGGTTTCAATTTTGATTGGAAAATTTGATTCGCCTTTAGTCAGTTTAGGTAAATAAATTTAAATTTTGACCATGATTGTAGTTTCTATTTGTACTGAACGTTCTGATTTCCAATATAAGTTCAGACAAACTTGACCACAAACTAAAAATTCTTCTATTTTCTACTGTATTAACAATTCTGCACGTACATTGCACTGGACATAATTTATTATACATTTTTAAAGAGTATACTGGCAGTTCTCATAATTTTGAAGCTATCTCACACCCAAATTAAATGAGGTCCTGAATTTTTAATAAAGAAATGTGTAAGGTTATCAAAAATTACTGAGTGAAATAACTGATTACAATAATCTCACAAATTTAAATGCCACGCACACTTATCTTAGACTTTATCATACCTTATTGTCTATCAGTGTCTTTTGCAGCATCTATTAATCACAAACTTTAGCCTAACGTTGTGATTATAAGAGGTATGGTTTCAGGTTTAATGTACTTTTTATGTGTATTTGGGACACAGATAGCATGATGTCCACCATTCAAATTTTTCAAACAGACCTATGTCGGACTTGCGATATTGATGTCATACAACTTTTGGTTTTAATATTGCAAGACCCACAAACACCTGACTGAAAATTGTAATGATGTAAATCAATGCAATCAGTGTCCTCAATACACAAAACAAGTTAAGAAAAACTCTTAATCAAATTAAACAAACAACAAGCCACAAACACATTTAAAGAGAGTAGTAAATCAAACCGTAAATTCAGTTTTCTTCTATTTACAGGAATCACAAGACGAGAACAATTTCCATCCAAAAAATGGCAACAGAAGTCACAACACCAAACAATATGTCAAGATCAGTGCCAGTGGGTACTGTAAGTGACAGAGTTCAAAAGATTAAAACAATCCGATCAACTTCAACTTCAAATTCAAATCCAGAGGTTTCAACACAGAACGGCTATATTGGAAAAGCACAAACTTTTACACCAACCCATAGGAAAAAAGCTGTAGAAATGAATGGATTTATATCACATGGACGTGTTTCAGGCGGTAAATATGTTGTGACTGGTTCACCTTCTGGACTCGCTAACTACGGTTTTTCAGAATCGATGGACAACTTGAAAGGCATCTCAAGTGGTAAAAAAGGTACCAACAGGCAGTTGTCTTTCACAGAAGATCTCTTGGATAGTTCCGACCAAATTCAAATGTTGAATAAAGTTTATCAAAATGGAGGTACGCATGGACATGGGCATATGACAGCTCATAGAGGAACAATAAAAATGTCCAATGGAACCTTACGCGCATCAAAGTTAACCGTTTCCAGAAGACATTATCCCAGTGGACATGGGAGACATCGCTGCCATCTGTGACTTCTAGTACGAGAAGTCATAGCAGTTCAAGAAATCATGCTGTGACACGTTTTGAAATCCAACTTGACGAGTCCCTCAAATATCAATATCGACCAGGTGAAGAAATAAGTGGAACTGTAATCATGGATTTGTCAAAGAGTTTGGAAATACGGTATTTGGAATTAGTGGTGGTAGGAGTAGGAAATGCTTCTTTGACAAAAACTGGAAAGCTTTTCACACAGCAAGAGAACTATATGTACAAACGAACTTGTGTCATAGGCAACAACGAAACAAAATGGACGTCTTTGTTGACACCTGGAAAATATGTTTCAAACTTCCACTTTCATCTGTCTAAAGATGTTCCATCATCCATGGATTATGATGAACAATATAGTGGCCTGAGATTCAACGTGTCCTATTTTATAAAAGCACGTCTTATAGATTCCAGCAGAAAATCAGTGGCATCCAAAAAACATAAAAAAGCTCATCAGAAATCTTTACTTTCCTACCGATTAGATTTCAAGGTTCTGCGACCATTTGATGTGAACATGTTACCAGATGTCAATTTACCCATCAATCACATGGAGGAGGTGGCATTGGCATGTGGTAAAGGCAGAACAGCCACCATAGGTTTGGCGTTAGATAGAAGTGTGTTTCTGGCAGGTGACGACATCAGACTACAAATATCGTTAGCGGTTCCAGCCTCAAGAAAAATCAAAGAAATTATTTGTGGTCTGCAACAACATGTCAGTTTTCAAACCCCAGGTCAAAGAGCATCATATACCTTAGTTCAATTACAAAATAAAAATCCTGAAGAAACTGCAGTGGTAACTATTGAAAGCAATATGAAGACTTCGTCGTATGAAGTTGTGATTCCCACACACAATGACATATTGACTTCCTTTAATTACGGCTGTAACATACTCAAAGTTACATACTCTGTAAAAACATTAATCAAATTCTCCCAAGGTGGAGGAAAATTAAATTTAGCTATGCCTATAGCCATTGGTCCCTGTGCTGAGCCTATTTACTATGAAAAGAGTGCCTTCAAGAAAGCAGTTCCCGTCTTCAAACGCCCTGTAAGATTTCCATGCTTTACCCCAGCTTCAAGAAATAGTTCCTTCTATTCCCAAGAACAAAGTTCTCAAAGCTCCAGGAAAATAAACGTGGTCACCAAATATCAAGTCAGCCCTTTTGGAAGAATATTTTTGTGTTGTTTTGGACGTGGAAAATGATTACAGATAATGCTTTGTTCAAAATTTGGTGATTTATGCATTAAGAAATTAGGACATTCTTTATTTGATTATTTGAATGCAGCTTATTGAATTCTTATTTGAACTAAACATACAATAATCCCTTCTACCCCTTCACAGACACATGAACAAGAACTAATTGTCAAACTTCAGTAGGAACATTGACTGAAATAAGTCAGTTGTCTGAAGATCGCACAACATAAAGCTCATGTAACATGTTTCAAGTTCTATTTCAATAATTCACGCTACAATTGATGCATTGAAAAATAATATTTCAACATATATATGGAAATATTTTATAAGATATGTTTCATGATAATTTACAATTACAAGATATTTTCAATGTTTTCATAGTGCTCGATACTGTACATCAATTGTAGAGCAATACAGAAATATGATAATTTAGTTTACTCTATAATATTTCTTAACAAAATATGTAATACAGAACATGTATCTCTATTAAAATGAATTTTCCATTGTATTTTCATTGTTTTTTAAGCAATAACTAAAATGCCCTATCTGAGGGCTTCTCATCCGCAGTGAGATCATTCCTTCCCAGAACAGTTGTTTCAAATCATATTCCTCCCCAAAATAAATCAGTCATTTTGAAATGTATTTTACTCAAAATTTTTTATTCAACAATTAACCATAAACCTCAATAATCAAAGTTTGCTTGATTTACTCTATAAAATATTGTGTAAAGCCATCTTTACATTTTAAGAAGTCGATATTTTCGTTAAAGGAGTGTTCTATTTCTCTAGATATCATAAGTTTCCCACGGTGAATGGTTAGTCTAGTTTAATATTCTGATCACCTAACTATTATACTGTACAGTGTATACAACAATATAACAGATATAATAGATACTAATGTACAATCATTATATCACTTTACTTGTATTGACTATTCATAGCTGACTATTTGCCAACTTTTGTTAATAAGTCACATAAATTCATTTAGGTCATTCCAGCATTCCAAAAAGGTGTTGTAATAATGATGTCATATATTTGTTTACTAGAATTTCAAGAATTGTAAAATGGTGAAATAGGAACTTTTATAATAAAGTGTTCTCTATGCATAATTTTCACGTATAAGCTTACTCACTAAGCTTATATATTCACAATACAGTGATGAAATAATCGCTTATGTATTTTTAATTCCAATTATGGATCATTCATAATCTATTGAATGTCAAAGTTATATTTACTTCAGTGTATCCCTTGACAAGTGCAGTAGTAATCTCTTCCACATGGTTTACCTTCAGTAAATAAATAAACACAATAAACTTTTATAACAAATCAAAGCAATATCATATTATTATAAATCTATGATATAAAAATAAAAAAATGGAATTGATAAATTTGACAAGATGATTATTTATTATTTAGAAGAATTTTCAATTTTAAAATATTTTATAGATTATTGATCAAATTTCAATATTGGCCATCAATAATCAATCTCAATTTGGTGATACTTAACCAACTCATATTTTGTCCACTGAAAAGCCACTTTTTTTAATTTAAATCCTTGCTTGCAATCTACTTTAGTATCAAACCTTTTTTGAAATAGCAAACTCAGATCTTTTGATGACTAGAAGAGTTGTCTCCCATAAGTGAAAATAAATATTCATTGATTTTGATAACTTTCCTGGTACACACAAAGAGCAGTAACTGCATTAAAAAAGTGTTTCTATCAAATTGAGTTTGAAAAGATTTTATTGATTTCAACTAAAAAAAATTGAATGCTTTAAAAACCCATTAATATTCATTTTATCAAATCTATCAATGGTATCTCGCAATAAAATTCTTTTCCTTTTTCTAAAGAAAATAAAAATATTTATACCAAGCTTACAACGCTGCATAACAGAAATCAATAAAAAACCAATTTAAGTGCAAACCTGTTGTGAAACTTTGCATATTAAAGAAAATTGCATATATTTTCAAATAATTTTTGATGCTCATTTATGCCTTTATATTATCACATAAATTTCATGCAAGTATTGAAGTATAAGGTTATATTGTTAAGCAATTGCAAGTTGAGGTTATATTTTTTTTATAAAATTTGTTTAAATAAAATATTACTATTTTTAATTCATCTGCAACACTTCAAAATTCTACAGTTAGAAATGTAACTCCTTTGACCCCACCTAAAATAATGTGCAGAAAACCAGGTCAACTGATATTGCTGGTTTAATGTACGTGCGGTTAGCTTATAAATATAATTCAAGATACAATACACATCACAACCAACATGTCAAATCTAAAACAGCAACCTTCTTTTCTCAATGACTTCAGCGACACTGACGCATTGACCGTAGACTTTGAGTTTGACATAACAATAACTCAAATGTCAAAAAACAATAACAAAAACATTTAAAATTTACACCTGATTCTTGATCTAATTCAAAATCTAAGACTACATTTTTAAAATCTTACCTTTTAAAAGAATACTGTAAAGACATGTTTGTTTATTTCTTCCACTGGCAAATAATTCATAAAATTAAAATGCGATTTATTTCATTTTATACATAAAAACAAATGTTTTTCATCCTTCTTCGGCCATTTTGAATGTCTCGATTATCAATAAAAGAAAAATAATACACTAACCAGACTGGTTAATCAAATATTTAGCCACTTCCGAAAGGAAATATAACTTGCACATGCGCAATCAACTTAACAACATATAAACAAATATGGACGCTTGAAGAAAGCAAAACGAAAAAGTTGTTGTTTTTATCACGGTTTTACTAATTTTTAGCTTCAAGATGAGTAGCAAAGCTGGACAACGGGGACGTAAAGTTTGTGTATGGGGAAGAGTAAGACCTACGTCTGATTTTGCTCACGATAATTTAGAGTTACTTCCAGATGGCAAGGTAGATAATTTTATGTTCCTTTCATTTTTGACGTATGAAATCGAAATATCCACTCCAAATACTGCAGAGAGTCAGTGGCACGAGCCTTCTGGACCAGAGAGATAAAATTTTGAACCATATTGTGAAAATTGTAAGAAATAAAGTGGCGAAGGCTTATAATTGAGGGCAGTGCACAAACAATTTTTCCTGGGTCGCAACTTGAAATATCAGACTGACCCTTTAACTCTAATATCCCAAACTTTTCAGAGTGTCAATGTTCATATGGAGAAAGACCCGAGAAAAGGGGTGGTCAACAACCAGATCATGGATTGGTCATTTAAACTGGATGGAATTTTCCACAATACAAATCAAGAGCAGGTTTATGAAACTCTAGCAACAGATATTGTTACGTCTGCCCTAGATGGCTATAACGGTAAGGTAAAGGTCTTCTTTAGGGCCCACAGACTTGAAAAATAACAGTTAAATCAGTTATGCACAAAATTAGTCCCAGTTGACTCAGCTGGAAACAGAATGGAAAGGGTTAATCTGGTAAAGATCAATGCCAAGAGGTTTAGAAAGGACCTGTTATTTGTCATTCCCAATTCTTGATTTCATGCTTTCAGGAACTTTAATGTGCTATGGACAAACTGGTGCTGGTAAAACATTCACCATGACTGGAGCCACAGAGAGTTATCAACATAGAGGTTTGATTCCAAGGTCTTTATCTCAGTTATTTCGAGATATTGAAGACAGACCAGAATATTCCATCACTGTCAGGTAAATTGAAAATTATTCTTGGTTTATTACTGTTATTCAGAAGCTATGCAAGCTCACTGAGTAAGACTTACTTTCTAACCTGAACCCCAACATAGGTTGGTGCTATTTAACCCATTTTCTCTCTGTTAAGAAAAGGGACTGGTGAGGCTTTGCTTGCAACAGAATGGGCATATTAAAGATTTTATTAAGGTTAATTGCACACTGCATGCTGTTGCCTCTTTTATATTAATTCAGTATATGAAAGTAGGATGCAAAACTCTTTTGATTGATGGATAGATTGGTGGATTGATTGGTTGATTGAATGATTGGTTGTTTCATTCATTCATTCACATCTCATTTATTCATTCTATTTACAGGATATCATATATGGAGATCTATAATGAAACCATGTATGATCTGCTATCTACACTACCTGATGCTAACAGTAAAATAGATGATGAACCTATGGTAGTCACAGAAAACAATGATGGGGTTTTTGTTAAAGGCCTGTCCTGTCATTTAGCTCAAAATGAAGAGGATGCTTTAAATTTACTTTTCGAGGTAGCTTGATGAATTGATTTTATTTTCTGCCCTTTTGTTTTTTACTTATTTTTTTAGTAAGTCATAGATCAATCCTAGTTAAAAAGAGGCATGATTTGAAATGCATGATTGAAAAAAAAGACTCTTCTAAAGTTTGGTCATTATTTCAAATTGGAGCATAAATTTACCTCATTTGCCTCCATTATGTTACATCCTTTTTCATGAGAATTGAACCTACAACACTTGATATCCTAGCAGACGACAAATTAACTCATACTAACAGAGATTCACACAATTTCATGCTTGATATGCACATGTTACTTTTATCTAACTTTTGTTGTTATTTTTTTTAGGGAGAAACCAATAGGGCTATCTCTTCCCATTCTTTAAATAAGCAATCATCGCGGTCACATTGTCTATTTACTGTTTATTTAGAGGTATGTTATTTTTAATTCTTAATTTGTTGACAGAACTCTTTTTGTAGCTGAGCTGGGGTGACTCACTGAGTTAGACACTTTTGCTGAAGGTCCAGGATGAAAAAAACTTTGTATTGGTCTATTTATACCTTTCAACCAGTTTTCCACCTGTCAGTAATGCAGACCAGAAAGGGATTAATATGGAAGAAGTGTCTAGTAGTTTGAATGGGACTAAGGCTCCATGTGCTACAGGCTGTGTATGTTAAAGTTTCTTGCGTCAGTAAATAAGGCAAAAAACTTTAAACTTCATGATGTTACCTGTCCATACCTGAAGGACTCCATTTCATTTCTTTTTTGAATCACAATTTGATTCTTGTTCTTTTTTTCAGTCAAGATCGCGTGTACAGTCTGATGCTAGATATACTGTATCAAAATTAAACTTCGTAGATTTAGCTGGGTCAGAAAGACTGAGTAAAACTAAGGTTTGTTATCTTGAATTATTGCCGTTGTTTTATATTATTTATAATGTGGATGGAGAATTCTGATGTGAGCGCTATGAAACCTTCAATTCACATCAGCCTCAACTTGACATCATCCATATCAATCAATCACAAATTTGGCTTTTATTATGGTGAAAATTCACACAACGGAGGAACTTGGTCGGAGATGTCCTTTTATATTACAAAAACCATTTGACTTCTGTCATAACCTGGTCAAATTTTTCTTTGAATCTGATTGATCAAAGGAAAAAGATGATGTTTAGCCTAAGTTTAATTCACAGTAGTTTTAAAAGCCTTTTTATTTTTGAAGGTTCAAAAATTTAGTAGATATGCTTTTAATTTCAGTCGGAAGGCAAAACCCAAACAGAGGCTATGTATATCAACAAATCTCTCTCCTTCCTAGAACAAGTGATAGTAGCTCTGGCTGATAAAAGGCGGGAACACGTACCTTTCCGCCAGTCGAAATTGACACATTATTTGAAAGATTCTATTGGTGGTAACTGTAAAACTGTCATGATAGCCAATATGTGGGGCGAGTACAGTCAGATGGAAGAAACGGTAATATACTTCAATGGAAACTTTTGTCAAAGGGTTAAATAAATACAATTAGAAGACTCTTAACCCTTTGAACTTTGAACTAATATGACTTAAAATGTATGATATTCTGTGATGTCATTTAGTGAGGCTTCTTCACAGACTGCTTAGGTATATAACAAGAAATTATGTGGTAGAGCAGGCAGTAGTTTTTAATGGATTAGAAAGACATAGGCAATTTTTTTTCAAATTAATTTATGACAGAAAATAATGTATATTTTAGGTATCTACATTACGTTTTGCTACCAGAATGATGTGTGTATCAAGTGAACCAGCTGTCAATAAAGTTTACGACCCAACTGTAAGTTAAGACTGGAAAGTTTAAAAGTGGAGGTACAAGCAACCTGGAACTGGGGACAGACGGAGGACAACTGAGATTCCAATTACTATCAAAAACCTACAATGGAAAATTTTCAAAAATATAATTGATGTAATGCATTTTGACACATATTTTCGTGACAACAAAGTATAATATGAAAATCATATTTTGAAATTCTTATAGATTCTGTTTGACTTTTAACAATTGATTTTTTCCTATTTTCAGCTATTATGTAAGAAGTTACAAGAAGAAATAAATTATTTGAAATCAGAATTGGCCATGCATGATACATTGGTAAGATAGTTTTAACTGCTCGTGGACTTTTTTTGTTCTGATATTCAAATGACTGCAAAATAAATGTGCTAAACAACATATTAAATTCCAAGAAAAATAACTTTTTTAAGAAGGAAGCAATCAATTTTTTCAAGGATAACAACTTGGGCTCATGATCTTGTCTATCAGCTGGTTTCAAAACTATCAACATTGTTCTTTCCCAGATTATCTGCCATTTACAGCTGGGCCAACTGAAATAATGACGAAGGATGTTACCAGACTTTCAAATGCCAATCGTGATTAGAAACCACAACCTCTGTTTGTTTAATTTATTCGAGAAAAATACATATCTTATTACTTGGAATTTCTATCCCTTGTCAGTAATAGATATAAACTTGTTTTATTCTCAATTAGAATTATGTTGAATTGCAGGCTAACAGAAGTCATATTGGATATGATGCTCTGTCAGAACAACAGAAGTATGAAATCAGACATCAAGTTAGACGCTATCTAGAAGGAACTGTAGATGAAGTTGATGTAAGTCTATTATTTTTGACCAGACAGGAATTAAAGTTTGACATTCCAGTATATTCACACAATGGTCAATCTAAGGCATCAGAATTTTTCTTACCTTTTTTTGCTTCCTTTGTGATCTTACAATTTTATACCGGCTCCAATGACATTATTACTAACCAGTGTTCAGTGAGGTTCCATTTCTTGATAAAATTGACAAATTCTGGGATTCAGAAACACTTGGGGTTCTGCTATCCCACAATTCCAGTTTTATGTGTCACAATCTTTGAGTCAGAGTTTTCACACTTTCCCAAATGAGATAATTGCTTAATTAAAAATGGCATGTTATTGACATATGGTAGTTTTCCCAAAAGAGCTCACTATGTAGGAAAGACAACAAGTCATATTGTAGTAGCAGACCATACTTTGCTTCTTAATTAGTGAAAACAATTTGCAAACAGTGTACCCTTTAATTGCTTAGAGAAGATTTGATGAAATAGATTGCAATATCAGACATTAACTTGACATCAAGGTATAATTTGGATATATTTTTTTTTTGGTATTATAGATTGTTAATATTCGTCAAATTCAAGGTACATACGAAGCCTTTAAAGAGATTAATCAGTAAGTTCACATATTTATAGCCCCTTCAAGTCTGAATTTTTCTACCATATTTTTCAAAAAGGCTACTAATTTTCATTTAACCAAAGTTAGGATAGAACAATAAGTACAGGAACAGTACAGGCTCTGCTTATTACTGATCTTTATGAAGAGGTTCTTGTTTTCTTGTATGCTTCAAAAGCTGCCAATAGCTTATTATTGTAAATTTGACAAAATATTGACATTCTATTTGTAAAAAGATACACACAAGTACATGTATGTGTATGAAATGGAAGAATATGTTGCTGTAATGAAGTACACTGATATTTGTTGTAATTTATTAGTCAAATGGAGGGTGAAATAGAGGAGAAGTTAAGACAGAAATATACTTTAATAGATAAAACAGATCCAGCTGCTGTCAGTGCTGCCCAACAAGTATGTTTATTTTATTCCTTTATTCCACATGATTCCATGAAAGCAAAATTTTCCCCATTGCACATTTAATTGAATTGTCACTTTTCATATCATAAGCTTGATTGATGGTGCTTGCTTGGACAAGCATTTGTTCATAACCAAGTAAATGATTCCAGCCACAGATCAACCACAAAATATCAAGGTGCTGCTGTCAAAGCAAAATTTTCCCCATTGCACTCTTAATATTTCAATAGGCAGGATTGATATCAGATGAAGCCTCATTAGTAGGAGAATCTGATGGGTCAGGGTTTGGTGTGGGAAGTGCTCCACGTTCAGTTAAAGCTGAACCATCTGCTGTTGTTCAACTCAAAAAGAAGGAAAAAGAACGAGAAAGTAAGAAAAAAGGAATGAAGGATAGACAGAGGTATGTTATGTTTTCATTGCTTTATTTTATTAGTTATTCTTAAAGGGGTTGCCCCTACTGAAACAGAAAAGTAGGAATGGGTTTTCTAGATTTTTCATGTGTATCGGGGCCATTCATGGCTTCTATTATTATAAATTTCCAACAGACGTCTGTGGTTCCTGCAATTATAGTAATGTTTAATATAAATGGCGTCACTATTAAAAGAGCTTGTAATAGAAATCTAAGCTTTAGCTCAAGCTACATCATAAGTTTTAGTGGAATTGCAAGAACTGAAAACAGATAAAATTAGAATGATGTAAATCAATATCACTATCAGTGTCCCCAATGCACATAAGAAGTTTAGGAAACCTGTTTACAATCCCTTTTATTTGGATGGATATCTGACTATTGTTGTAATTAGCCAGAAACTTGAATTCAAATTTAAGATTTTGAGAATTCAGATTTCTGATTGATCTATAAAATTAAATTGAAAATTGATATTTGTGATTGACCAGTCAGATGACTGGAATACTAAAATCTGATTTTAGAAAATACAGCAATCTGATTGGTTGAATAAATCAATTTTAATGATTTGACAATTAGATAAAAAGACTGAAGAAGTTTTCATAATTATTTTTTTTGTTGGCCAGACTAAAAAAATAATAGCTAATTGATTGCTTTTTATACTGTTTTTGTTCTCTCACTGAATTCATAAGGACTGGAAGTAAGTTGTGATATATTTGGCATGAAACAACAGAGCAAGCATGTTTCACTAAATCATAGGCTACTAAACTGGCCTCTGGTGTGTTCATTTATCACATAGGTACAACCTGTCATCTTCAGGTTCGAATTAGTGAATCATCGGAATTGAGTTCATCCAATCAAAGACAATGTGACATTTGAATTCGTCCAATCAAACCAAGGTAACATTTGGGTTTGTTCAATCAATGTCATGATGACATTGATATTTGATTTCACCAAATCAATGTCAAGGTGACATCTGAGTTTGTCCAATCAATGTCAAGGAGACAATCTGGTTGTCAGGGTTATTTATATTTGAATCTAATCTTTGAAAAATTCTTGAATTTTCATTTTTAACCTCATTTGTATCATTCATTCATGTTTTCATATTTCTTTCATTTCTTGTATGTCTTCATTTGTTTGTCTCTTTTGAACAGTCGTGTGTTTTCTGCAGTTGTGGCCGCCAAAGCGTTCAGCACAGGCGTTTCTGAAAGGTACCATTTTGACAAAAATACAATCATCAAGCAATACACCGAATATTATTACTAATACATTTAATATTTAGAAACTAAAGGGATTGTAAAAAGGTTTTCTCAACTTTTTATGTGTATTGGGAATACTCATAGCATCCCTTTGCAATACTGCGATTTTAAAATGGATGACTGGGTTTTTCAAGTCCTCTTAAATTAAGCATTTAAAGATGTCAGTAATCAAACAAATTGCAAATAACATCTGAGGGTCTCTGAGGTAATAGTGATGTCATAAAACACTTAGTTCTGCTGGAATTGCAAAATCACCTGATGTCTGATTGAAAATTGTAATCTTGCAAATCGATGCTATTAATGTCCCTACCTGATACATAATTATGAAAACCTCTTTAAGGAGAAATTCCAGATAGCTGTGTTCACATATTTCATTGAAAATGCAAGCAAACTTAAATTTCATTTTAATCATTTTATTTGTGTTTGGATAACCTAGACTACATAACTTAAGTTTGTGGATAAAAGATTAATGACTTGGACAATTAGCAAATGATGTGAACTATCTGGAATTGCTACTGTGCTTATAACATCACAAGGCTTCAGAATTGTTTTTAGATGTGATTTTACTTGTGGAAAATAGGAAGTAAACTATCATTGTCACTTTGTTAACATCATTGTCACTTTGTTAACATCATTTCTTATCATCACCTTGTCACTGTGTTAACATCATTTCACATTTTTATATTGCTAATATCATTGTCACTTTGTTAACATCATTTCTTATCATCACCTTGTCACTGTGTTAACACCATTTCACATTTTTATATTGCTAATATCATTGTCACTTTGTTAACATCATTGTCACTTTGTTAACATCATTTCTTATCATCACCTTGGCACTGTGTTAACATCATTTCACATTTTTATATCGCTAATATCATTGTCACTTTGTTAACATCAATTTTTATCATCACCTTGTCACTGTGTTAACATCATTTCACATTTTTATATTGCTAATATCATTGTCACTTTGTTAACATCATTTCTTATCATCACCTTGTCACTGTGTTAACATCATTTCACATTTTTATATTGCTAATATCATTGTCACTTTGTTAACATCATTTCTTATCATCACCTTGTCACTGTGTTAACACCATTTCACATTTTTATATTGCTAATATCATTGTCACTTTGTTAACATCATTGTTAATTTGTTAAAATCATGTTAAGTTGTCATATTTTTAACATCATTTTACATTGTCACATTGTTATCATTTCACATTGTCTCTTTGTTAACATCATTTTACACTGTCACTTTGTTAATGTCATTTTCACATAATATCATCATTATCACTTTTTTTTTCATTTTGTCTCCATTTTCATGTATATAGATAGATATTTGTAGAGGCCACTTTTGTAATGAAAGAAATTTTACCTATTAGACTTATATTAGTAGTTTTCCTGCCAAGCTGGATCTGAGCTTTTTCTTTCAGTACTAAAGTACACAGTTTGAAATTTTTACAGCTCTGGAATGTGCTAGCTTTGATGTGTAGTACTTGATGAACTTGATGTCCTAACCTCTACCCTTGCCTTCCCTGAGTAAGCTTATCTTTTATTGCTCTGAAATAGCCATTTGAATGCAACCAACTTCCTTTAACACAGAAATAATTCTAATGTTGGGATTGCTCTTTCAGTCCAGTTGCAGGTAAAGCATCAACCAGTCCATCTCATTCAGCCAAGGGAGACAGGGAGCTGAAATCACCACATACCCCTATTGATAGAAAGGAAGATAAGGATGTAGATGGTACTGCCTCCCCTATTAGTTCAATGGGTGCTGCCCCAAATATGAAGGAAAGACCAAGGTAAGAATGAAAATAATTATTAATTATTTCAATAGATTCATTTGAGTTTCAGTTAAGCATTAAAAGTAGTGTAAAGATGTTTTGTAATCTTTTTACATTGGAGACACTAATAGCATTGATTTGCATCATTCAAATTTTCGCAATTCTAGTAAAATTAAACATAACTATTGTGAAACTAATTTATTATCTGTTTCTGCTATACTGATTCAGGTACCACACCGATAGAAAATAATGCAAAGAGAAGCCCCAGAACACATACAAAGTTTAGAAAACCACTTTACCATCCCTTTAATAACCAAAATAGGATAATTAGCTATGTAAGAAGTTGTGTTGTCAGACAGAGTTGTTGTGTGGTATCTGACATTCACAACCAAATTAGAAACTGTATATTTTGTTACATTTCTACAAATCTTTATATATTTTTATTCCATCAGTACCCCACCTAGCAGATCTACAGCTTTTGAAGAATTCAAACAGGAGAGAGGCAGTAAAATTAATAGTATTCTCATTGAAAATAAAGGTAAGGGGACATTTATATAGAAAAATATGGATTTGAGGTTAGCATCATTTTTAAGAACTACACATTTAATATTAAAGGGACAGGTGACTCATTTTGTGGGGGTGATTTAAGTCTTGAATATATGTAAATAGTCTTCAGAAGTACTAGAAGTGAACGAAATCACACAATTCCTTTAAAAATACTTCAAACTAGGAATATTACTCACTATTTCTATAAAATTATGTCTTTTCTATATATCACAGAGTATCTTAAAGTGACGAGACACTTGGTAACAACTGCTTCCACGGTCACTCTTGTATACATAATGTTTGTCTGCTTTTTACCAACTACTTGAGTATATATCATGTAGTTCTATGAGGTGTAGAGTGTTGCTAGTGTTGAAAGGGTTCAGTCATTACTAACCTCTGAATGAAAATAATTTTATTGTTTTTTCAGAAATTCTAGCTTCCAAAAAGAAAGCGTACACAGAAAAGGCCAGGCTTATTAATGCCAATAAAGTAGATATTGATAAAGCAAGACAAAAATTGGATGAGCTAAGATTAGCCAGAGAGGCTGAAGGTAAGAAGAAAGGAGCAACCTTATTTTACCAGGCCATGTATTCTCGAAAGGATCTTAGCACTAGGATGTCCTAGGGTATTAACTTCTAACACTGTTTCTAGGATATATCCTAACGCTTAGATCGGTTCGAGAATACACGGCCAGGATAATGAGATAATGAGGATTCAAATGACCTTTCTATCAGTTGTCCTCGGCTAAATCTCTGGGCATTGCTATTTCTGCTTCAAGCTGTACATGTGAAGGATCCCTCAATAGTTTGATAATGAAAAAGCATTGGCTAATGCTGCTGTTAATTTCTCTCATTGTACACTGCATGGTTGCCCATTTTCATTAGTCTGATACAGGTTCAAAAAATAGGATGTAAAACTACATTACATTTCATTTAAATGCCTACAAAAGCCATCTTTTGTGTCAAGATCCTGAAAATGCTATAACCATTTGTGTTAACAGGACAACATCGTGAAGATGCTATAACCATTTGTGTCAACATCATTAAGATGCTATAACCATTTGTGTCAACATCATGAAGATGCTATAATCATTTGTGTCAACATCCTGAAGATGCTATAACTATTTGTGTCAACATCATTAAGATGCTATAATCATTTGTGTCAACATCATTAAGATGCTATAACCATTTGTGTCAACATCATGAAGATGCTATAATCATTTGTGTCAACATCCTGAAGATGCTATAACCATTTGTGTCAACATCATTAAGATGCTATAATCATTGGGGTCAACATCATGAAGATTTGTAAATCATTTTGTGTCAACATCATGAAGATGTTTAAATCATTTGTGTCACCATCATGAAGATGCTCAAATCATTTTTGAAATTTTTTCAGGTGTCATGTTCAATGAAGAAGGAGACGTTATTATTAGTGAAGAGGAATTCTTAACCATCAAACATCTAAAAGAATTAAAACAGACCTACAGAAGTAACTTTGAAGATTTGAAGAATTTAAAAACAGAAGTGCAGTATTGCCAGAAGTTAGTAGATCAGTGTCGCCAGAAACTTTTACAAGGTAAAGAAAAAGATAGGATTGTGGTTCACTATTGTAGATATCAAAAGTAGTTTTTATGTTACTAAGATACTACCTCTTAGAATTGACATAAACAAGTGTATATATTCATCATTTTAACTTATATGAATTATATTAGTTTTATAGATTTATTGGATTATAGATGGATTATTTTGTATAGTTATGACACCATGTAATCCACAGATAAACAAAATTTAAAAATGTTATTGTTAGTCATCCCAAGAGGTAATATACTTTTAATGATATCATATAATATAAAAACCTCTGTATAATCTCTCTTTTCAATTTCTATTCTTTTAGAATTTGACACTTGGTATGCTGAAAGTTTTCTTACTGCTAATGATGAAACAGCTACAAGTCTGGCAGCAGGGCATGGCACCAGACCAGGAGTATTTATGGCTTATAATACACAAACTGTGGTATGTATAAAAACAATCTAATATAATACAATATCGTTTTTTTCTAAAAATTTTCATCTTCATTGTAATCAACTACTTTTTGCTCTACTTTGGGTTTCACTCTCCCACAGTCCATCCTTGGCCTACATGATACCCTTTGCTTACTTTGTTAGATTACATTAGAGTTGGAAAAAATCAGAAAAAATACGAAACAAAATTAATAGCCAACATTGTTTATGAAAAGGCTATTTCTTCCAACTGATCCAATTTCCTCAAGCTTTTTAAACTGATTCTTGTATATTTTCACCAATGACGTAAATATGAATGTAACAAATTCAAAATTCAGTCTAAGATGTTTTATATTTGTTTGTATTAAAGCCTGAAGATGAACAAGAAAAATTTGATAGATTACAACGTGAACTGTTGATGAATAATCCTGATTCAGCCTCATTTTATAATGCTCAAATGAGAACACAAAGAAGGGTAGGTGCTTTTTATTTATATAAAAATCTTCCTCTTAAAATATACTACCACTTAAGATTACCGTACCAACAAATTTAATTTTTAAACTTAGATTCATTTTCATTTATCATAGTGTGTTTTTATGTTTTCAGAAAACCTATGCTTCAGCTATGTCCCAACCTCAACCTAGTTTTAATCGAAGACAAGCCGGAACACCTACCATGCAAGTACGGAACCAACCCCCTACATTATTACAAGTTCAATACTAGATATAATCCACAAATACCTGAAAATAGGTCACTTTATATTTATTTACAATATTAAAATCTGTTATGGTTTGTAAGGAGGTTTTCTAGTTTGTTTTTTTTTTTCAGTATCTGGCTTCTATTGCACTATTTCATTTTCTGTCAGATATCTGTATTTTTTGCAATTATGCTTAATGATATATGATTTTTACTGTAACAAATCTGGCTAATAAGATCTAAGCGCTTTTGTGATAGCTTATCAAACGCAATAGACATCTAACTGAAAATTTAAATGGTTCAAATCATTGCTATCAGTGTCTCCAATACACATAAAAAGTTTAGAAAACCTCTTTACAATCTCTTTTGGGTTGTATAATCCTGGAAAGATCAATGCCAAGAGATTTGGCTAAGGGACCAGCTGGCAGAGAGGATCCTTCTTGTGTATTCCCCATTTCTTTGCCACCTTGCAAATGAGTATATTGCCATGTTATTTTTAAAGGTAGTTATATATGGTTTGAATGTACAAAGACATTAAGTGACAATGAGTAGTCCCCCTTGTATATTGTGCTTTCAACCAAAGTGAAATAAGTTTCATTAAATGATTTTAAATGAGTTTTGATGATCACTAAATTGTCAAAATAATTGTACATAACTACTATGATTGTACAGCTTACCAATTCAGCATTCAAAATACCTTTACTTACTATACATTTTAAAAGCATTATTCATTGTTTTAGTACATTTCACTAACTAAAGAGCATTGACCACCATTGTACAACACATCAAAGAAGCATTCAAAATATTATGACTGTACATTTCATCAAAATATCAGTCAAACGTACTGTGGTTTTATAACCTGTACATTATATCAAAGAAGCGTACCAAATTGCTGTGATTTTACCACAGGGGCGTTTAAGAATGCCTTAATTATTTCTCCAAAGAAGTATGGCCAATAAATTTGTACAGTATATTAAAAAAGTATGCCAAAACATTTTGATATTAATTTAACATTAAAGCAATTATAACAGTACACAATACAAAATATTGTGATAGTACATCTGACCAATAGCAGTATTCAAAATACTGTGATTTATCCAAGGAGAATGGACAATATTTTTTTGTTTACATTTTATTAGTAACCAGTCAAAATTACTCGTAAAGAGATTGTAAAGACCTTTTCCAAACTTTATATAATTATGTATATGGGGCACTGATAGCATCGATTCGCACATTTCCAATTGTCAGTCAGATGTCTGTGGTTGCAATTTTTGGAAATTGGAATGTTGGAAGTCAATGCTATCGGTGTCCCGAGTACACCTGCAAATTTTTAGAAAATCTCTTTCCAATCCCAAATTATAGCCTAATTACCAAATTTGAAAATGGTAGGCGTATATTAATTTTATAACCTTTTATCGGGTTAAATTGGTATGATTGGCCTTAAGTCTGAGTATATATTTTGTATATTAATTTTTATCTCCATCTGTAATATCTAATACTTTTATAATTAATTTTGATTATAATTTATTATCTGTGTGTATTTATAAATACAGTAAACCTTGAGTAGGCCTAATTAGTTGTTTTTATAAGCCCACATTGTAATGTGGTCAAATTGTGTCGTCCTTGTGCACTGATCTCTCCATCCAGTAATCAGAGACCTTTAAATAATGTAGGTAAAGGAATTTGTTGTATCAGGAAACTTATAGATTCATTTTGAATCATTGTGTTTTCTTGTTCGGCATATGCGATTTCTTCAGTTGTGGTTTGTAGGCCTTCAGTTCTTCCAACATCAGAAAAATGATCCAAAATATGTCTCTGAAAGCACAAAATCAATTCTGTTTTCCAGTGTGAATCCTCTCTGACGTAAGCACATCTCGGAGTTGCCAAATTTTGAAACCCAACCTTTGTTTCCCAAGCCTTGCTGCTTCCTTATTTTGATGTATAATTTCATGAGCAATGAAAACCAAATATGTACAAAACCCCTTTGGCGCAATATTTCATTTGCATGAATCTATTGGTCGACTACAGAACGGTTGACCAATCAAAATAGGGGTGAGAACATCAGCTTTTTAGACAAGAAAAACAAGAATAAGAAATAAAAATTCGATAAAATAACATCGTAGTTGAGAAATAAGAAATTTAATAGACACTTTATTCAGAAATAGAAAACATTTAATATAATATCACAACATGTCAACAATTGAGATAAGATCAGATACATTAAGTTCTAATTGTAGACGAACCAAACGACCGGTTATCATTATGATAAGTACAATACACAAAGGACGGGTAAGTACCCATTTGATACGGAGAAACACGTATGGTACAAACACTACACTAAATTTCTCTCATTGCACACTGCGTCAGTTCTAAAGATACTGAACAGTAGGATGTAGAATAAATTCATTTCATAATTATGACCTTATTTAAGGTTTATGAATCATGCAATTAGTTAAAAAAATAAACTCGAGAGAAAAATATATTATTTTTAGTCTGTTTTAATTCTAATTAGATAAAGTTAAATCATTCATTAAAGCAAGGAAATCAATACGTAGCAATCTATTTCCAAGCTTAATTATGTAAAAATCGTTGAAATTTTCCCCGAGGCTTACTTGATATAGGTCGAACATGTTATTTAAGGTGTCGTTCAGGATAGAAAAAGGGCCATATTACAGATTCCGTTGTTATTCGGGAAATGTTTGCAATCTCTTTGCAATATAGCCATCCATCAAAACAAAAACCTTCCCCTCCCCATCTAACGTCTGAATATAAATATATATGTGTATGTTAAAGAGATTGAAAAGAAGTTTTGGAAACTAATGTGTATTGAGGTTAATTATGGTTTCATAATATACACCATTACAATTTTCAGTCGTCTTTGGTTTTTGTAATTATAAAAATGCTTATTGCCTCACTATCGCCTAAGGTTCGCAGATGTCTGAATGAAATTTGGATTGGTGGTTATCGATGCTATCAATGTCCCCAATACATACACAATTTACAAAATCTCGTTACAATTACTTCAAAGTGTGATTTTAAGGTTTTTCAGTAGAATACATAGTAATAAATTCATCATAATTGATTCGATCTGTTCCCTTATTTTTACTGAAATGGATTAAAAGCGGTGAAATCTTTTGGGCTTTCAATTCCAACTCAGAATCGGCTTTGATAGCGTCAATGATCTCCTGCTTGGTCAAGAAGCCGCTGTTATCCTTATCAATTTTCTTGAAGACGTTTCTCATGACCAAGGCGGCTGCTTCTATTCCGAAGACGTGAAGAAACTCGTCAAAATTGATCTTCTTGTCCTTATCTGAAAAAGAAAATAAAATAAAGATTTATGTTCAATTTTTCTCCATCTAACCTCATGGGTAGAACACTTTCCGAAACTATTGCATTTATTTCTTGATAAAGGCCATAGGGTTCTATCCAACGAAAATGTTCGAAACATAGAATAGAATTCTACACATATATTCAGGCAAAAACGTATAAAAATCATATTTTTAAATTTGTAAGAAAGGTACAAAGTAAAAGTATATTAAGGGTTAAACAAACAAAACATTTTATATGAGGAGGGAAGGGGAGACAAAGAAAATATTATTCGTTGCGGTGGTCTGACCAGTTAGTCCGCCTTGGTTTACTTATCAAAATGGCGTAGCAATTTTCTGCAAAATGTTGGACTCATAAAGTACTCCTATTAAAGAGATACTTGGAAAAGAGACTAACCAGTAACTTGAAATATAAGAAGATCAGCTATTTTCTCGGGAGAAACATCTAAACCGGGTAAAGTCTTAGCAGCATCAATGATCTCTCTTCTAGATAAAAACCCACTGTTATCACTATCCATCATCTTAAACGCCCGGCGTAACGACATCTCTCTAGAAAAATAAACGGTTAATCGGATGTCTGGACAGAAAAATTATAAATATTAATCGAGCAAATGCATAGGTCTATGTGAATACTATATCAAATTGTGTTATATCATAAAAAATTTTGATTTATTATTATTCTTATAAGCTCCTCGATTTTTCCCTAAAGGCATGTAATTTTATGGACTATTCAAAGATAAACAAAATGAAATGAGACAAGCTCTTATTGTGCCAACGAGAAAGAAAGGACAAATAATGATGTAATCATTCGGATAAAATGACCAACCAGATAGGGCATACTTACTGCATCTCAAGTTTAGGTAGCTCCTTAACAGCAGCTTTAAATTCATCTTTAGAGATTTTCTGGTCTTTATTTGTATCGAGGTTCTTAAAAATCAACTGAAATAACAAAAAAAAACATGAATTTTTTTTCTATAGAAGCTATTGTGACAAAATGTACTCATTACACACTGCATAAAACTTAATTTAATTTGATTTCTTCAACACGCCCTAAACTACAACAGTATATTTTTCTGCCGTGTCTCACTTTAGCAGGTAACCTTGTATTATGGACTAAGGTTATAAATATTTATGATGTCAAGTGAACCGGTCAATCAACACGCTTTTACGTACGCTTGAAGTGTAAATATCAACACACAAATTCATTGGTATAAAGTGAACATCAGTCAAATCTATTTATTGTAGGCCTACAAAAATGTTGCAGAATCTTTTAAAAATCAAATTAGTATAGCTTTTATAAAAAAGATTTGAATAAAAGAATTGGTTAGTCTATTGTTTCAAAATTAGTTGGTATTTTGTTTTATTAGTTAGTCTCTTGCTTTAGAATTAGTTAGTCTCTTGTTTCAGAATTAGGTACCCTCTTGTTTCAGTATTAGTTACTCTCTTGTTTCAGTATTAGTTACTCTCTTGTTTCAGTATCAGTTACTCTCCTGTTTCAGAACTAGTCACTTGTCTCAGAATAAGCTAGTCTCTTGTTTTATTAGTTTGACTCTTGCTTTAGAATTAGTTAGTCTCTTGTTTTAGAATTAGCTACCCTCTTGTTTCAGTATTAGTTACTCTCTTGTTTCAGTATTAGTTACTCTCTTGTTTCAGAACTAGTCACTTGTCTCAGAATAAGCTAGTCTCTTGTTTTATTAGTTAGTCTCTTCTTTCAGAATTAGCTACCCTCTTGTTTCAGAATTAGCTACCCTCTTGTTTCAGTATTAGTTACTCTCTTGTTTCAGAACTAGTCACTTGTCTCAGAATAAGCTAGTCTCTAGTTTTATTTGTTAGTCTCTTGTTTCAGAATGATTAGTCTTTTGTTTAAAAATCAGTTACTCTCTTGTTTTATTAGTTAGTGTCTGTTTTATTACTTAGCCTTTCTTTCAGAATTTCAGCCTTTTATTTTATCTATACTTTTTTCGTAGAATCAACTAGCTTTAAAAGCTTATGTTTCTTAAAATTAAATATCTTATAATTCTTTCATGTTGACAAATTCGAGCCATTCCCACTCAGGGATTTAAAAAAGTGAAAAGATTCTAATCCTACCTGATTCTCCATAGCCTCATGTTTCCACGACGAGAAAATTAACTCTGACTTATTGCATAGATTCTGTGTTAAAGTGAAGACTTTATTTTTTGTCACAGAAACTGAAAAGGTCAGTAATCTAAATAAGTAACAGAAGTATGCAATATTTATAGTTACTTTCAATGAAAACATTGATGCACTTTCACTAAACCATATTGCATCAGCTGTCTTGAAAGACTATTCTTTTAATCATAAAGTGTGAGGGAAAAGGGGAGGGTGTGTCAGCACCTGCAATTTTGTTGTTGTTTTATACAGATTTTAGATAGGTAATAAAATTAATTGACTGTAAGTCCTTAGTTCCTAAAACTTGACTTAAGTTAAGGTGAAATCCAGAATATAAGTCATATAATGACCAAATTTATCCTTAGGAGATATATATATATATTATATCATGGTAGAGATTACTACTATATGATAGATTGTATAACAACACAATTTTCTGGAATTCTACACTTGAGTTTTATTGTACACAATGAGTCAAAAATTTACGTTGTCATCCTAATGAGTAGTTTACCATAAAATTGTGTTTCGTTACTTAAAGTTATCTGATTGGATAATAAAACTGGCAAGGTCAATTACAGCATTTAAATTTAGCTCGAAATTAGAACATGAGCAACTGATTTTCGATTTCCTAATTGTCTTTGCGTTCACATTGACTTATTTCAACGATTGGTGAGATTCTCGATAATGCATGATATCAGTGGTCAAATATCCAGTTTCTTAGATTTTGTCAGTCGTGAGGTCGTTCCTCCCTCCCTCCCCAAATCTCCTAACTTTAAATTACGATTACAGATACTGACGAAGATTGAAGGGAGCAAAGGTTAAACGCGATGAAAAGACTCTTCTTGAGATCAAAATAAGACACGATAAATAACAAAATATACACATATTGTATCCATACAGAACATTATAGTTATCACGGCGGGAAGATACTTGTAACTATAGCAACCTTGCATGCTAACATTTGAGAGTCATTGCGTTAGGCGTGAATTAGAACGGGTACCATAAAGTCTTAATGATGCAGAACTCTAGTTAATCTTCAACAAGTCAGAAACTAAAACATATTTCTACCGTTTCCCCTAATGATATTTGAAATATGAATACGGGCAACTATTTTTACGAAGCTGTTTGGATAAAGTGAACCACGGTCCGATCTATTGATGCAATTAAGGGCGTGGTTATAATTATTATGGTTGATCGAGAAAAAAAAACTTGCAAGTCATTTCATCGGGAAATTTATCTGATCCATCGGATCCATAATTCAAAATTCGCTACAAAGTCAAGATATGTCGACACCGTTTGAAAGTCCATTCGCAGAGTGGTAACAGGTATTCTGAAAACGTAAGAATGCCCTCTCACGCTAGCAACAACTGAAATATACATATAGTACACCTGTAAAACCAACGTAGAAATTAAATTAAAGAGAATAGAAATGTTAGCGGTGGCGGCTCCAGCTGTCTGAGATTCGGGGTCCAAACAATGGGCAAACTGAATTAATGAGAGAACAACAGTCTGTCGAGGTTCAAGATACGGCAGATCTGCTGAAGCGCATTATCAGCGCAAACTTTCCATGTTTGGGCGTTTGAGAAGGTTGCGCCCCGAGAAGATTTTTGAAAAAAAAAATATGTGCATTTTGACACATATTTTCGTATAAAAATAATAATTTTAATTTGTTAGACATGAAGTGGGGGTACATACAAATGCAGCCCTTCTGATCTGCATCACCTAAAGGGGAATCTGTATTGAACACTTGGAAAACAGAGTAGCCTAATGAAAATTCTTATATATATACATATATATACGCACCTTTACGGTTTCTGTATCCCCTTTAAAACCAGATTTCTGTAAAACAGTTTCAACTTCTACTAAACTTAAACTTCCATTTTTATCCTTATCAATTTCATCAAATTCCAAACCAAACTTTTCCCATTGTAATTGTGCCCATTCCGCTGCCATGTTGCTTGTTGAGATGTTCACGAAATAAGTATGGCGGATAATAATTGGTGTAGCAGAAATGAAAGGTGAAGCCAGTCTTAGACTACTATAGTCAAGGCTACAGATATATTTTTGGGTGAAATTTGATTTATTTTTAGAATAATTTTGTTCAGGATGGACGTGCTGATATATCGTAAAGAATTTCGTTACCTTGGTGATTCATTAGCCATATTTTAATGAGCAATAGGCCTAAATTAAGAAGAGCTATGAGTAAGTCATGTGTTTAAATGCATATTAAAGGAACTGTAAATTTTTATGTGTATTGAGAACAATGATAGCACCGAATTGCACTATACTAAATTCCAGTCAGATGTTCGTGGACATGGCATTTCCACATAAAAACGTCACCATTGCAAAGTCTCTTCTAAGTTTCTAGTAGATTTCCGATAGAAATTTCATATTGCCTAGAGTTAAAGCTCGGTATTGTAACGCATATACTGATATATATCTTGCTTGAACTATTATTCAAGTAGTTATATCCCCCCCCCCCCCCCCTCCTCCTCCTTGAAATGAAAATTTTCAGTCGCCGATGAGATTAACAGTTAACTACTACAGAAAGTCAGGTGTGATACTGATGACTAATTAACTTACAATTATAGGATAATAGTTTCATTTCATGTTTTAATAAGCACAGTCAGATAATCGTATTTAATACTGTTGATACATAATAAGTTTATCACTGTTTATAACATAAATTCACCAAGGGCGAAAAGTGCTAGTCTTTTGAGTATGAATGGTTAGCTTTACCTGGCCATCAATACCAACTATGATATCTCAAAGGTGTACTAGTCAGACCAATTTTACCATTGATAAAACAAGCTCAAACTCTCGTCAATATGCCTGCTATTGATTGGAAGCGAAGGAGGGAATGGCGATGGGGGTGACTATTAGAAATTGGGAAGGACGATCTGGAGGTAGGAAAGAAGGTAGGAGAGAGAAAGAAGGTAGGATAGGGCAGGAAGGTAGGAGCAGAATTGGTGACAATAAATGTAAAAAAAACAATTACCCGGATTAATTCCTTGACAATAAAATCTATGGGTTAATTTTGCAGTTTGCAGAGATAGTTGTGAGACAAGCAAAATTCGGAACTTCCACTTATGACAATATGCCACGTCAGGTCGGCTTAGGTAATCTTGTGGACAGATCAGCCAATTATCTCATTATCATGTCACAAATTAATTTCTGCCTATCGTGAATCAGGTGGCTGTACACTTGTTATCGGTTTTGTTTTTACATTGTTTTTTTACAGTTTTATTTCATTAAATTAATTACCATCGCATCATGTTAATCCCCCAAAATTGGTCGTTGGAAGCAGTTGCGAAATCAGTACCAACCAACCTTTTGAAGCAGACGTTAACTACTTATAACCAACTGTATCTAGTCTGCGATATCAGTTATCTGGAAGCAGACGTTTAACCCCTGTGCTAGCACGTCGTTTGAATAACATTGGATAGAACCTGGGGTATTTGGGGACCCCTATTATTTCATGGGAATTTACAACAAAAGAACATGAAATATATTTCCAGGTGTGGCAAATAATACTTTATAAAGACTCCTTGTTAACCAAATCAATTATTCAAGATGATAGTTACACCGATATGCGAAAGTCATGCTGTCTTCAAGCCAAACCTATAATCTAGAATATTACATAACGGTTGGGTTGTGATCTAGGGATGAGCAGAGAGCATCTGCTTTGTTTCAATTACTGATCAATTGGTCAAGATTTCAAAAGTAGCTTACTTAACTTGATATGGTTATAACATTTATTTATAATTTGATAAATATGCATAAAACACTCAAATTTGACCTCCTGGGGTACTTCAGGACCCCAGAGATTCAATAGATGTTATAATCAATTTTTAACCAAAATGGCCCCAAAATTAGTTGAAATGGCCCCTACATGGTACCAAATAATTTTTGATTTCATTGAACAACTTTAACAATAAATAATATATGAATGTTTTGACAGTATGTTGTTTGTATTTCGGTGCCGAAATAGGTGTAGAGGGATTGGACCAGGGACCAATAAGATAGGGTGTTTGGGTCGTATCACGGCATATCCTGTTGGGAAAAAATATCAAGAGTTGTTGGCATATTGTTAGTGCAGCAAGGTTATTTCACCAGTCTCAACTGACCTGTATTTATATCGAACAGGTCTCATCTTGGTAAAATATTATGTACTCTTTATATTGAATATATCCATATATTTATTTAATAATTTGAATTAATTGGCGTGTATAACAGATTAATCTTAATCTTTGAATTGATGTATTGCGTCAAATGATCATTTTGACCAATGATTTTGGTTGAAATCAGACGGTAATTTTAGGGGCTATTTTGACTATTGTATTTTGTATCATTTTGACTAATTTCTACTTTTGGGGCCATTTTGACACGGGGACATTTCTAGTTAGTTCCAAATTGACTTTAACCTAAGACAACTAGCTTTAGAGGTAGATTACAATTTAATTCTATTCACAGAAATCCAGTTTTAGCACTGAATTTATCTGGGGTCTAAATGTACCCCAACATACTTGCATGGTGTGTTTCAATTTAAAAGGGTAACATATCCGCTAATTGTGATTGTTGCACAGTAGACTGATCATGAACAAGTTAAAAATTCATTCAGCGACAATGTTTGAAATAACCAAACTGCTATCTTCGATGGCATTTTGGAAATTCGAAAAAAATCGACGCTGGGGTCCCGATATACCCCAAGTTCTAGCACAAGGGTTAATTGTCATCCACAGTCCTACTGGGGGAGAACAGTTCGCGATATCAGTAACGTAAAACGGAAATCAACTTGTCATCTGATTCTGGATTATCCTTACTGCTTGTTGGTCAAGACAATATTTATTGGTGTTTTGTGAGGTATTTTGTAACAGTTGTTAAAGTGATACTACGTCTTAGAATACACTCGCCCTGTTGCTAATATTTGTGTTTAATAGTGACCATTGGCTAAATAAGTATGAATCCCACACTTTATCAAGTTTGAAAAATCGACAATAAAACTATAATCATAATTTTTAAAAAAAGTGAGCAAGCCATGAATCCGTTCAGTTTGCGAAAAAAAGAGTCTGGGTAATCAACACTAAAACAGGAAACAATCATCTTCCTGTGTATACAGACAAACTTTGCCAATGATTAATATTTGTTGAAAATTGTGTCAGTGGTGGAGTATTCATTCTAAATTATATGAATTGCTCTTTCGCGGAGTCGCTTAATCTCCTACGAGGCATCATTATTCCGCCTTCAAAATATGACAATGTCGAGGTCAATTCAAGAGTAGAGGTCAAGGACGCGGGAAACCCCACTGGAGAGTTACTTCCCCGTGAAAATTACACCGGATTTCCTAGACTCACGATTTGAAAATCGCTTAATGGATGTATTAAGCGTTTTATAATTAATTACTTGATTTTGTGGATATATCGGATTATAGAGCGATTTTGATGTATAGTTAGGACACCAGGTGAGTCCGCTGATGGATAATACGGTTATTGGCCAAATTTGAGCAAAATTAAAATTTTATGTTCATCCTAAGACGTAGTATTCCTTTAAAGTGATACTACGTCTTAGAATTAACATAAAATTTAAGAATCTTAAACTTGGCCAGTAAAATCCAGTAGATATACCTGGTGTCATAAATAACATAACATGATCCTTATATCCAAAAAACTTAGTAATTATCCACAAATATCAAGATTAAGCGTTTTTCAATCCAATTTTCCAGATTTTACAGGGATTCTGTTCTAACTTTATAACACCAGGTAAGCTAACTGATGAATAATATACTCATATAGACCATTTCGAGAACTTGAATTTTATGTTCATTCTAAGACGTAGTATCACTTTAAATCATTGCAATTAGTGATCGAATGGTAGGAATTGTAGAATCGACAATTTATCATCATTGGAGTCGATGTGTTTACCAGGACGCAAATAAAGACATTTTGAAAGTGTTCGGAAGGGCCATATTACCGTCAAGTCAGAGCTGCAGTTAAAGTGGCTGCGACAACTTTAAGTAGCCGATTCTACATAAAGCATACAATTGATTCTATAAAAGTGCTTTCCTTTGTTTAAAAAGTCGTCGATTATCTGTTTCGAAGGCGTCTGTCTGAACATTCATAATTTTATGAGAATTGAAGACAATAACAAGGGAGGAAAGAAACCAGATTAAAGAAAGCTAATCAATTATGAAGAGTGGACAACACAGTGCCATATCGTCAGTCTAGAAATTATACAAAATTATCACATCATCGTTATTCCTCTAATACAAGGTAAGATATAAAACACCATTATAATATTTCCGTTCCATTTCTTTAAAGGTACAGATGCGTTATTTTTGGGGGTTGATTTGAGTCTTGTATGTTATTTATAGTCTTCACAAGTATTGGAAATGTACGAAAATGGCAGAATTCCTTCAAAAATATCTCAAACTAGGAATTCCATTACCTATTTCTTCTGTAGATTTGAGACAGTGTCTCAAGAAAAGACGACTCGTCTTTTAACTTTCAAACGCGGATAATTCTGGACACACATGGAAGAGTCAAATTTCGACGGTGAGCTGTGAACACCATTACTTACTGGCTTAGCTAAAAGATTCTCGACTAAGGTATGTTTGGTCAAAAAATGATGCAACTTTTAATAGATCAATTTTAATTAAACATTATTAATGATTATTTCCATCAGAATATTAAGCTATGTTAAATACAACATTGCTTGATAAGGACGAAAGCATCATCGTAGAAACGTCGCAAGTTATTTATTAAAGTTATTGTTATCCATATTATTGTGTCCAGTTATTCATACACCAGTTACTAAATGCCACTCAAGGAAATTAAAAAAGATTGCTATTTCGTTTATTTTTTTCTGGTATTTTTGTCTCCATTGTAATGAAACATGAACTCTACCATAGCACACGAAACTACGCGCAAAGGTAGTTCACACCCATGTAAATTACATACGTTATAGTTGCGTGCAAATTTTTAGTAGAACCATATAACGCTATACCACAACTTCTCACCGTAAGCAGCGAAAGTGTCCAAATAGCACAATTCACACTTTGATTGATTATAAATAAGAAAAAGGAAGGGTAGAAATAGACAGGGTAGTTTTTTTATTTTTCAATTATTTACTGTCGTCACTCCTTTCAAAACGTTTTCTGTCTTTTCATGAGATGAAATGTCCGAATCTTATTCTGAAAAGTGATATCATAGGTTAATGGGGTGTCCTCAATTAGTATTAACACACAAAGCTTGTTTGCGACACTGTTTTTATGTTACAGTGGAATATCTTAGATATCGCCTGTCGCCTGCAAAACCTGTCGCCTGCAAAGGTACCGTGGTTTCGAATCCTCTTAAAGGTAAAACAAAACATCTGATGCCAGTGCTTCCGAACAGTGTGAAATTTAACAAATTAATTCAGTAAACTGTAAACTAATTTATGTATTTACCCAGTCGGTAGCAAATGAACTGTTAAGAAAGAAATTGAACGCTCAAAATTCGACAGATCAAGGCTTGCGAAATCGAAGGTTCATGCTGAATATTTTACGTGACGAGTTTTAGTCTAAATGTATCAAATTAAAGGAACACGTTTAACCATTAAGTCTCAGAAATGGGAATAATTTTGTTCAGCTAACCAATAATAATTCACAGCTCGCGTTCAATTCCAGGTGTGTACAGAATCGTTGGCGCTTGAAAGTTAAAATGACAACTCGTCTTTTCATTTCATAACATTCAGAAAAGTAGAACAAAAAACTCCATTCATTTCATTACATTAAAAAAGTAGCATAATCATCGACCTAATGAAATAATAAAAAATAAGCAAGTAAACATTATTAGCTGGGAAATTCATTTTTATTTTGAATTCAACACATAAAAAATCAAATTTGTATCCTTTGAGATCAATCATTTTACCACACTTCAATACAAATGTTAATCAAATTCAATCGATTAGCGGGGTGAACATTGAAAACTGCATTGATTTATCTATATCAGGGCGCCATTGTTACAAAGCTGNAATACTGTCAGTACATT